ATTGTACACGCTACATAGCTCGGGTTTCTCACCTGGATTATCCTGTCCCCATCTTTTAACCAGTGGATAGTTGGAGGCGGGTTTCCCACAGCCTGGCATGACAGGACGTTATGATCGAAAGGTAACACAGATACGACAGGAGCGGGAGTTGTGGCTAAACGTAAATGATGCCTCAAAAGTGGATTGTCGTCTATAGAAAACAAACATTAATAAATCCTTTAATATAATATATTAAGCTCAAGATAGTAGTTAGACTATTTACAATCATCCGTTTATCTTATCCTTATAATTAGAAGAGTACTTAAAAACCGGTGATCTCTCTATTCATAGTAATTAGCTTACTTTACTTACAATCAGCGACTTATTCTTAAAATTACAAGAGTAGTTAGAAAGTCTGTTCAAAGTAGATAACGTGTTTTAACCTTACTGGCAGATGATTACTAGTTTTATAACTTTTAGTAGAGAAATTAATGCTTAACGTAACTCATAGTTGTGTACACACGTTTAGTTTGATATATTTTACATCATTAATAAATACTTTATTGTTTATATAATTATAATGTCAGAAAAACAGGTAGATTCAAGAAGTCTTAGTATAAAACGATAAAAACTCTCTAACCAGAGCGCTTTCAAAAGGTGGACCTTTCTTCTTTATAGGTTCACCTTTTGAAAACGCTCGAGTTAAAGAGTTTTTATTGTTATATATTATCTATATAATGTTATTAGTACGCAATGGTAAAGATGTTCCTAACAGTATGCTTCAAATATCCACAATAACATCCAGATAATACTGACAAGATATTGTAAACTAACATCCACGCTAAGCAAATATAATGTACATTGATATTGTTGCGTCAGCGAGGTCACGTGACTAGTATCACACCGCGTCCTTCTCGAACCTTCGTGAATTATCGGAAGACTACTAGATTGGGTAGTCTGGTATATATAAGATGGTCACAACGTGACGGAACAATGGGTAATTGAACTGCAGTCAGAGATTATGTAATTGAACTGAGTAGTGTCGAGCAGGAGCACGTGAGACGTTCTAGCGTTTGTTATAGAGCGACTGTTGAAATTAAGTGTATCGGCAGTGTAGTATTCGGAAAGAATAAACCAGTTTTATTTAAGAAAGGACTTGTGTCGCTAAAGTTTCGTTGGAACGAATTTACGGAAAATTAACTAACGAACGGAGACGTAACGATATTTAGACAGCATAGTAACACCGTATCATAAACTATTGTTACGTCTCCGTTTGTTAATTAATTTTCCGTAAATTCGTT